AGGGAAAGAAGAGCAATTTGTGTAAAAGCTGAAAGGGAGGCAAGAGAGGATCTGTGGATAGTGTAAGTAGGTCAGATTGATTATATACTACAGAAAGAGGAGGAATATGAAAATCTTAGCAGAGAGCCTTTAGACCAAGGTTTGAATGTCTCAGTCAGAGTCAGCTCACCTGAATGAACCTTAGTTTCTTTTAACTATAAAGAACCAGCCAGTAGTGTGAGAGACTAAATGAGACTCCTCAATCAAGGACCTATAATCGTGCTTGGAAAACAGTGGGTGGGCAACAGATATATTCGCTCATTTTCCTTTGTATATGGGCATACAGTATATGGTTAGAAGAGTAAACATGAGAAAAAGTATGACTAGGTAAACTGCAACTCTTCATTGACTAGCTCTGGATAAGCTGAGCTCTCCAAACTTTAGAAGTTAAAGTAGACAGGAATAGTATCCACCTCAGAGGTTTGCTGCGAGACTTAACATAAACAAATCTCTTGGTCATTGCCTGGCACACAGCAAAAACTCAACAAATGTTAGATTTACAACTGCTATTATAGACCCACAAACCTTTATCTGCAGTTCTCAACTCAGAAACCTCTGAAAATGAAAGAAACGTTCTCAAGTTTGGCATAAAACTTATTTGGTGGCAAAACCTGATCTGAGGCTATTTATAGTTTCCATTAATTCACACCTATCGCTGCACAAATATTACCGCTGGATTAGGGGATGTTGCCCCGACACTGGGGGTGTTATCTCTAGTCTACGCACACTACTGTCGTTCTAAAATCTAAAGATAAAATTCCAAGATTTCTCAATTCCAAAACACATAATCTCCAAGGATTTCGGTTAAGGGAATGCTCTCCATTACTCTTAGAGGAAAAGAACACGCCAATATCCGCAACTCAATTCAAATTTCTAAGACAAACTAGTTTTGAAGAGGAGGTTCAGAAACATCAGCAACAATAAAATTTTGTTTTTCCTGCCCAATGAACACTACTGAACAAAGAACTTCTGAAAGACTTATGAAAGCTACCTTCGAACGAAATGAGGGTTCGTTTTCAAAACAGGCCTTCAAAACCACCAGGGGTACCGTGTGTGTATTTTAGTAGTAATGCTGTAAAAACTTTTTTCTGGTCGGGTATGATTCAATTCTTCGACATTAGAATATCAAAAAGCACTATTCTTAGTTTTCAATTAGGAAAACGGTTCAGCTATTTATAACCTACTACGCATAATGTGCACTTCTAGATCTTACAAAACAGATTATAGAACTCAGCAATTTGTCATGGATATTCATGTAACGTATTTGCCAGCAACTCCCCTACTAATGATCAGAACCTTGTCACACTGCAGATAATCTTGAGGATCAAAGATTCCTCCAAGAATCTATTGAGACCTAGTGCTTCTATTTTATTAGAAATTAATGGGGGAGGTCGGGGCCACGGGGGTGAGCGTCTCTCACCCCTTCGGGGCCAAAGGAACAAAGGGAGACCGGGATCAACCGGAGCGAACCGGCCTCCGAGCGGGTCGCGCCCGCCCAGGCAGGGGTGGGGGGAAGGGCCGGGCCCGCTCCCCGCCCGCCCCGCCCCCGGGCCACGCCTGACGTCAAGCGCGGAGAAACCCGTCGGGCGCGACGTCACTCGCCTCCGACGCCTTCTCCCCGGGGGGCGATTCGGGGCCAGTCTACAGCTTCGAGGAAGATGACCGAGAAAAACGCTTAATCCCGACGCCTGCAGGTCAACTCGAGGCACCTCTGTTACTGCGCCCGCCTGCCACTCGGGCATGCTCTCCTCGCCCTCCTCCACGACCCCAGTTAACGCTGAAGAAGCCTCACCCGGCAAGACCTGAGCCCGCAGCAAGGTCTAGAAGCGGCGAGGGGTCCGAGGGAACCGGGCGCTGAAGAACCGAGCGGAGCCCGACAGTAGCGGCGGCGGCGGCGGCGCGGCGGCGGCAGCTGCACCACCAGCAGCAGCACCAGCAGCGCGCGACTCCTCCTGGCGCCGGAACAGGAAGCGCCCAGCGCCGAGCGCACCGCCCTCCCCCGCGCTCCCCGCCCCCTCTGGGCCCGGCCGCGCGCGCCCCCTGCACGCCTTCGGCGGCACTGCGCCCTGTGCGGCCCCAGCGACGCGGCTCCTTCTCGCGCTCGCCGTGTCGGTTTTCTCCCGTGGGCGAGAAGAAAGCTCCCCGGTGTTCTAGAGTTCTGAGCACTCACAGGAAGCGCCTGTGGCTGATGACGTTCCGGGCAGCCTGGCGGAAATTACTAACTTGTGTCCTGGAGTGGCCCGAGGGCCGGTTCTAGAGATACCCTAACGCTCAGCGGTTTCTACAGCCTCGAAGCTGGCTGGTTGTGGATGCGGCCCAACTTGGGGACACGGACCCTCAGGCCAAAATTAGGGCCAGCTAAAGGAACAATTCAGGACAAGGAAGATGTTTGCGAATGGCTCGACAAATTGAAATTAACTAAAGGAACAGTTGTCTGCGGTTTTTTCCTATTCAACGCCTCTTCTCCCCACGTTTATTTTTCAGTAAACCTTTAAGTACCTACGGTGTCAGGCCCGAAAGATTGTGACATGGCCCCAGATATCAAGGAACCTGCTAGCGAGTATTGTCATAATTATATGGTGTGCAAAAAATTTTACATATAAGAAGCACGTTTTATATGTAAAAGTATGCAATATTCTTGTACTAGTGTGAAAAACCTACCTTTTGAGGAGGCAGTGAATCAGCAGTGTTGAGCCATAAAGCAGTCTGAGGCAACAGGAAAAGTCAGTAAAATAATGCTATCTTTATTCAAAATTTTGGTATTTTGAGAGAGAGAGAGAGATATATATGTGTATATATATATATATATACACATATATATATGTGTATATATATATATACATATATATATGTGTGTATATATATATTTGCATCCTGATTTAAAAATGTTGCACCAAAATATTTCCGAGTTTTTTGGCCAAAATTTTGTGCCGAAATTGAATGCCTCATTCACATCACCCTAAGTCTGGGCATGGGTGTCTGAATGAATGACATCCTCCAGCTCTTCCCATGCTCCCAGCCATTAACTGAGCATGGCGAGAATTCTAGAGCTAGGTCATTTCTGTCCCATGTGGGCTCCTACAGGGGATCTTTGCTTGGAAACTAAATCCCCATCTAGCTTTTTCAGAACTGCACTGCTTTATGAAGTCTACCTTACCCAATCCTCCCATTTCTTTCACAGAAGTCATACCTGCAATGTGATATGAAGACTTCCCCGCTTTCTGCTCCCTTCCCCTTTATCCTTCATAGATGTACCTCCTCCCACCCCCAATAAATCTCTTTCACATTTAATCACATCTTGGCATCTGCTTCTGGAAGATCCAAACTGACATAACTAAAAAGCATTTATTATAAATTAGAAAATGTAAGATAATAGATTTAAATTTTTCAGATTCTAAGTTCTATGTGTGAGGTAAGGACATACAATGTTTTAAAAACAAAATAGAAAGGCTTTGGATTTTGTACATGAAGTTTTAATTAAGAAGAAATAAATTTATTCGGATCAATTTGAACTCATATCTAACAATAATCAATTTCAGGGTTAGAAATAAAAATGGGAACAGTCTTGATTTTGGGTAAGGGGTGGATCATACAAGCCTGACTGACAAGGGTACTAATAGCTTTGTGAATTTACTAAACTGTATATTCAAGTATACATCAAGATCATACTTGGAATTTATCCAATTTTAGCAAAGTTAGCATAATTTAAGTAAACCTCCTTGAGTTTTACACTTTCTCAGTTTTGAAAGCTTAGATTTGATTATAACCTCTGCAAAATGATTACAGGCATACCTCAGAGATATTGCAGGTTCGGTTTCAGACCACTGCAATAAAGCGAATATTGCAATAAAGCACATTATAAAATGTTTTGGGTTCTCAGTCTCAGTTATGTTTACACTGTACTATATTGTGTGCAATAGCATTAGGTATAAAAAAAGGTATATAGCTTAATGAAAAGGTACTGTATTGCTAAAACTGCTAACCATCATCTGAGCCTTGACAAAGATCACTGATCAGATATCACCCTAACAAATATAATGTAAAAGTTTGAAATATTCTGAGAATTACCAAGATGTGACACAGAGACACAAGGTAAACAAATGCTGCTGGAAAAAAGGTGCTAATAGCCTTGGTTGACAAAGGGTTGCCACAAACCTCCGATTTCTAAAAAACCCAGTATTTGCAAAGTGCAATAAAATGAAGTGCAATAAAACCGGTATGCCTGTATCTTTACTTCCTGCAAATGTAATCAACTTTTACAATAGCTTAGGCAAACAATTTTGCATAAACCTTATTAGAAGTTGGAGGAAATTGTAACTCTTCTAATCGTGGAGTCTAAACCATAAATTCAAATTGTACTGCTATCTCCATTGTCATATCAAGCCAAGAAAGCCTATTACAGACTAAAAGAAGTGAATGTGAATCTGGAGGGTCCACTAAGGGGATACTTTTGAAAACCTATTACCACATTAGCACTTAACAGCTGTACCAAAATTATTTTCAAGTATACTCCAAGGGTCATCTCTTAACTGAAGAATTAACCTCAGAAGTCAAGTGACAAGTATTCTTATACACATTTTATGTGCTAGGAAATGAAGGCAAAGGATTTAGGATTGAGTATTCAAAATTAAAGTTAATAAAAAACATTCTGGCTTTATTCGAAATAATTTGTTGGGTTATATCCATTAGTGTGTCTTTCTACCAAGAAGCCAATTCATTTCAAAGTTACCTCTATTTGGTGTCCAATATCTTAATGTATTAGAGTAGTACAGACTCTTGTAGTGTTGCTCATTTCTAGTAGGCTATTAAAGAAAGAAAACGCTTTGTGCTTTCTGTTCATTCTTTAGAAATTAAAATATAAAACTCATAATAAAACCAAAATTGTAAAGATTCCCCCCGCCCCCGCCACGTAGAAACAATGATCTGCTTGATTTAAAAATCTTTTATTCATTTGGGCATTAAATTACCTAACACACAGGCTATTTTAAATTTAAAACATTGTTTTCCTTGTGTTGTCTCCAGGAATGTCTTACAATTATTATGTCTACTTTCCTGTGACATTTGCTCTACCAAAACAATACATAACCAATTTGACTCTGATTATAGCTAAAAGTGACGAAAATATTTTTAATGAAAACTAAGAGTATTAGAGTTAGGTCTTAAGGTTTTTGTTTCATAGGAAGGAAGCTTTCTATTATGTCGATCTATAAAATGATTCAAACTTCAGAGAGACAGGAAGCTGACAACTTGATTTATCTTAATGGCTTTGGTTCATGAATAAATGATAATGGTTTATGTTTTTCTTATAAAAAGAAATGGAATCTGTATAATGATATGAGTCCTATCTGCCACATTTGCTCTACTTTTTAAAGGATTTCTAATTACAAAAACATTCTTTATATTTATCATAAGTCAAAACTTTAACTGAAAGTCATTCTTTAACCACAGTTTGCCATTAGCTGAAATTGAGGAAAGAACACAGGTCTGCTCAATCAATAAATCTAGCCACAGGCTGACTAAAAGCTTCCTTTAATCTTCTTCCTATTAGGTCTTCTTTTAAATTAAACCATTCCCTCTATGAATTATTTAAGTGAATGGCATGGTTATAGAAAGATCACGTATGATTCTTTGCAAAAAAAAAAAAAAAATGCTCAAGGAACCTTAAAAAATACATCAGCATATTTCAGGAATTATAGTATGAAGTAAGATGCTGTTGCTTTAAAAAGGAGGTGGGGTAATGTCTTGAAGAACTTCAGAGAGAAATAGAAAAGTCAAGTTTATTTCCCGATTAGTGCAGGACGATTCCCAAAGCGCTGTTGTGTCTGGTCCAGACTAGCTATTAGCAATTAAGTAGTTTCCTTTCACTGTCAAGGCTTTTCCCCAAGGTAATGCCTAAATTCTTAATTTTAATATTTTATCTTGTTTCCTTTAGCCTCATCCTCTTACCAAGGAGCTCTACACATTTCCACTATGCTGAATGCTTTCTTTAGAATTTACACTTTTCAAACGCTCACAATGTCTGAGTTACAAAATTGATACTTAGATATATCTTCCCACATTGTTCCTCTCAATACTCATTTTATTTATATGTTCCAATAATTACATTTTTTAACAAGTTATTTTCTGAATATTGGATGCTCTTCCAAATGTGTCCTCACAAAGTAACTGAGAAAGGGCTTAACCTTTCTAAATTCCAATCTCTTAAAGCTTTAAAATTAATTTATTATTACTTTTCTTTTTCCTTCATGGTAAACAACTCCCTTCTCAAGTCCTTATATATCTACTTTCCAGATTTCTTTTCACTGTAGCAATCACCATAGGAAAAATACAAACCATTTCAGAGTAAATGAGTCTCTTCCATGCTCTCATTAGATCATTTACTTCAAGGCTATATATATGGCAGTTATTTTGAAAATGTTAATAGCTATTAATACCTTGAAGTTGAAAATATAAGAAAGTCAAAGAAAATATCACAACCAGTTTGACTATATGAAAAGCTACTTAGATCTTGATTTTTATATAAACACTAGTTTTTACCATTTTATAAAAGACAACATAATTATGCTTCATTTTTCTTTATAAAATTATCCTTTAACAGAATATTTGTTAGCTTGTCATCCCTTAGGTTTTTCTGTACTGATAAAAAGTTATTTTTAAAAGAAAAATATTTAAAATAATAATTGTTTCACAGAAACAGAAAGTCTCATTATAAAATTCTGATAAAAAATTATAATCATGGGTAGAGTGTTACCATACTATTTTCTTTCGCCAAAGATAAATATTTAGGAAGTGTTATGTTAGTAAATAAGATAAGCTTCTCAGTGATCTACAAAAGTGCCACAATAAAGATGAGGTAGTAAGAGACTTTTCTTTTGTAAAATGGAAATATCATCTTTAGAAGAGATATTTATCCTGACATTGATATGGTATCCCGAGCCTCATCACTGCTAAGAGACATGCTGTTTTAGTAGCTACCCTTCACTGGAACCAAGACAATCTTGAGATCACCGAGAAAAAAAAATGCTAGAAGATAATGCTAATAGATTTTCTTGGTTTAATTTTGCGATAATTGTTAATAATTTATTTTAACACTATAATTGAAAAATGCCAAATTTATGTTAGCAGCAGAACTGCAGGAAAGGGAATTGCTACTTCCACATAAAAGCAATGATACTTAAGAAACATCTGTTCTAACTCAGAAATTTGAGTCAAATTTCTTTCGACCCAGGTAAAAGTAGTTTCCTATTAGAGCTAAACCAGCATCAAGAAATCAATTATTATGATATTAAAAATGCCAATTTACAAAGGGGTAAACAGCTCATTAGAAGAAATAACTGTCTAGGAAATTTATTATTCACTGATTCTTTTAAAAAGGGGACGATTCCGATATCACTCCACTTATTTTACTGGGATAATGTTTCTAAAAATGCTTTTCTGTTCTGGGATAGTAAATTTAAAAAATTACACCTGGTGGTACCCAGTACTGTTCAGTATGGCATAAGCCATTTAGCTCTCAAAATGCTCTCATAATAATGACATTAATTCTGAAGATAGGAATAATTATTTGAAACCTGAAGACCAAAAACAATATAAGGTTTCTGAATACTAAGCTCTATGTTTACTTTTTGAATCTTTATTCAAGCTCAATTTAAAATAATGAAAAACTACTTAGGTTCTTTTTGGTTACCAACGGAAATCTGTGGCTGTTTTTAAACTGTAGCATCTCTCCAAATAACAGGCTCAGAATTCCTATAAAAGGGCTAAGTAGAAACAATAGTTTATAAGTAAATACAGAAAAACCCCACAGTTGCTTTAGTACTTTAGTAACTACTAGTTACTAACAGCGTTATCATTAAAGTTTCCAGTGAAAAAGGAACAATATTTATATTCTGAAGATGGTAAGTCATCCAAGTTGTGAGAAAGATCTGTTCAAGGAATAACAAATGACCATGCCACATTGTAAAGGAATAAATTCACCTCTAAAATGTTCTCATTTGATTCTTACTGACCAGATTAACCAAATTTAGTAATCCTGTTTCATAGTTAATATTTAAAATGAAAACACATCGAGTGTGATTTTAAACCATTTAGTTACCTTTAACATCCTTATTAGTAAATCACAAAAGTCAATTACATTAGTACGGATTGTGAATTATAGCACACTTAGCTTTACTAAAGAATTTTAAAACTCTGAAAAGGGGGATGGGAAAACTATGTTTTATGTAAAGGAATGCCAATGCCAATGCTTCACAAAGCATTTTACATATAGAAAAGGATACAGGATTATTTTTAAAGCAAAGTATGAAAATAGGTAACTGCTTGTACAACGCTACTAAATTTCAAATATCCCTGGATCATATGCAAATTAGTTAAGAAAAGAAAAAACAAAAACCAAACACCTGGTCAAAAATATCCATTAACCCCTAGTGTGTTACTTTAAACAATTAGTGTATCATAAGAAAAATAAACTGATCTGGGAGCAAGATTTAGGGCAGAGGTTTATTTTGGACTCCGCCCTTGTAGAAAAGTTCAAAGTGGCATAAGAAAAATAAAATATGAAATCTCCATGTTCCTACCCTCGATCTAGCATTGTTGTTCTGGTGCATCAATCCTGAGTACTCTAACTTTAGATTTATAGTGATATTCCTTCAGATATAATTTCATAGAAGTAGGAATTGGAAGGGCATCAATGCCATCATAAGTTGTACAGTTACAAATAACTGTTCTGCATATATGCTGCAGGGAAAAGGGGAAAGTCCGAATTAAAGGAGTGGATAAAAGTGGTTCGAAAAACATACAGGCACTTGGGTCCTTATAGTGTTCTAGGAGCCCAGTTATGTCAGGAGAATGGAAGACACAAGGATCATGTGCATCAAAGCTAAAGTTGTGATTCCACTGTTCAATTCTAGCATGAAGAGAACGACTATAGCGTCTAAAACTAACAGAGAATAAATAGTCTTCCTGTGCTGAGTCTCGAAGTAAAAAGGTACCCTCTGGTTTTCCTTCTAGTAGAGCTTCAGCTGCATATTTATCCATAACTCCCCAGTAACATGGATTGTTATTGATCTGAAGGAGGTCTGGTACAAGACAGTGGACATAATCAATCTGGGTGTGATACTTAGGAGGTGTTTCCAATTGCAGGATTTCTTCATCCATTTCCCATTTGGGTTTATTTCTTTTCCTGGAACTTGTGCAAAGTGTTATAATTTCATCATCTGAATCCATATCACTGTCTTCTATACAGTTATTTGAAACCAAGTTCATCACAGAGCCAGTCATAGGACCACTTCTACATGAAGCATTGTTGGTAGTTATGACACAGGGCTGAACACTGGGATGTGAGAAACAGGTCACCTCTTCTTCCATGTTTCTTCTTTGTTTTAGCCGACCATCCCTCAATTCACTCTGAGACAAGTCTGTGCTTACCAATTCATCTGATTTGGAATTTATAGGAGCAGTATGTCGTTTAATAAAATGCCACCTAAAGGCTAAGTCTGATCTAGGTGGGAAAGGACACTTATCTAACATGAGTTCACTGATATGAATTTTTCTTTTAGATGGAAGCCCTGAAGAGTGCCGACTACTACAATTCTTTATTGGAAAACACTGCCCCACAGCATCTTGCAATTTCTGTTTAAGAGATCGGCCTAAAAATCTATGCCCACAGGAATGATCTAAATCCAACTCGATGGATGAACAGCTGTGCTTTCTTTCTTGGCTCCTTAAAGGAACTTCAGTTTTCTCTATAGCATTCACTGTTTCAACATCTGAACAACTTTCACTCTTTTTTGACCAAGATAACTTCTTTCCACTCCACACATATCCATCCTTTCTGTCAGCACTTCTACTCCGACTAGTTTTGGGCCTTACATCTAAATCTTTACTATTATTTTCACTATTTTCTGCCATTTTAACAAATTAGCCACAAATTCCAGTGTTATAAATATTGTTTTTTCAGTTTTTCTGGAAGGAAGTTTCTTCTGGGCACTTTCTGGATATACCTAAGGGGGGAAAAAATCATTAATCATTTGCTGTTCACATTGTTTACATATTACATAATAGTTTACATGTTAAGCCCCAATTAGACACAAGATAAAAAAAAGCATAATTAGTACATGAAAGAGTACTTATTTAAACTGCTTTACCATAAACTAATAATTTTATAGTGCTATGAAGAATCAGTTTCTTTCCCACAGCTAATTTTCCATCAGTAAAAGCCAAGCCTCCTCTTAGCCTACATGCTTAAAATGTGAATAATTTCTAGTCTTGAGGTACATCTTGTGCTAATCTCTTCTCTCTTTATTATTATTATTATTATTTATTTTTTATTTCATAGACCAGTGAATTCTTTGTAAGAGAGTGAGAAATCTATAATCTAGTGTTTGAGGACCACTACCGTATATAGTTCCTTCACTTCCCTCTCCTGGTTTTTATTCCTATTTATTGAAAATATAAAATTTTAAGTTATAAAAGCTATTACAAATTTATTAAATAAACGATCACCACTGAATAGTACAAATGCCATGCAAGCATTCCCAATGTAGTTTTGTCAACTCATTTCAATAACTGGTAAACTTCACTATCAGTCTAGGAAGGTTTTAGGAAATATAGAATTGGGTAAAAATTTGTTACTTCATACACACACCCATATACACACTTTCTTGTATGTCTTAATAACTTTGAAAAACAGATAAATTTTTATAGTGCAATGCCTTTATGAAATTGGTTAGGTATACTAAAATTTAAAATATAAAATGATGAGTTTTATGAAGACTAAAAGAAATAATTGGTTGTAGATGGAATTAACTATTCTTAGGTAGAATAAGATTTAAGTCCAGAATTTGGTAAAGAAGTTCTATAATTTTAAATGTTTTGAAATTAAAGTTGAATTCTGTGACGAAGAAAATCAATTGCACTAAATATTCTGATTATGATAAGTTTCTGATTATATCAGAGGAACATTAACAATCCCAATAGTCAAGTAAATGTTTAGAGACACCTGAATCTATTTTTAAAATAGTAGGGTTTGAAACGAACATCTGCAGTGGCAAATAGGATTGTCACATGCTCAAAAATGTGAACTAATAATTCAGATAAAAGTACTCAATTTCTAGTGATTACACTTATTTTAATTTAGTGAGCTCACTGGTATACAATATATTTTAAAATCTAATTTTGAAAGAAATGTTATTTAGTACATTAAAATTATACTCAACAGTATGCTTTGGTTGTTCATTGACTAAATCCTACTGAAATATAAACAAGCAGAAGCAACAAAGTAAGCTGAAGAAAACGGAGAGTGATTGATTACAAGACACTTACCTGTTACTACCTAAGAGCTTATACTATTTTTGAAGATAAAAAAATAATAAAGAAGCCTCGAGCAGATATTTTTTGTTAATATTACATAATTTCAGTTTTACTCAGCTCCAAAATGTGAAGGACATTATCATCTAAGGTTTGAAATGCCTGGCACTTTTACTTACTAAAAAAATATCAAAATAGCAGTTTTTTGAAATTGTATCATTACCTTCATTTCCATACTACTGCTAAGCTCTCCACCTCTATTCTTAATAATAACATTTCCCACCTTTATCAGGGCACACTTCAGTTTTTCTCTCAATTTCTGTCTTCAAACACAACCAAATCTCCTATAAAATCTTTTAGCGGTTCTAATGTTTCCTTTAGTTATAAATCCCACTTTCCATTACTAAATTTCTTAATGAGTAGTGTGACTTGATTTCCCCTCAAAATAAAAACTGCTTTTTTTCCTGATTATAAAAGAAATAATCATCTGGTTTGAAAATGTACTAGTGAAAATCTTTTGCTCCACTTTCTCATCAGTCAGTCCAAAACAAGAAAAAAATGAGAAATAAAAACAAAAACCTCATCTTCAACGAAACTGGTGGGTATCTATAACCTGGGTCATAAAACATGAGGACAGAAAATGGAGGAGCAATAACTGTCTCAGCAGTGGAGAGGTAGGTGACATCAGGCACAGAGGCAACATGGATGAGAAACAAGCTGAAGAAGCAGGCAAAGTCCAGAACCAGAGATACCAGGTGCTACAGAAAGTGTGGGTGGACAACAGGGTGGAAAATGGGAAGGTAGGTTGAAAATCTCCAAAAGAGCAGTTAGATCTCTCCGGTTTTTACTCCCACACTTAAACAGTAGATGAGATATTTATTATTTGGAGAAACTGAACAAGAGAGGTTCAGGACTTTTGATAATAGGCATATCAAGGGTAGAAGGGAAAGCTGCAGACTAAACCAGAATGAAAGTTCCCTGCTCCCCTTCTTCCCAGAACTCCAGTGATCAGCCTTATACCGCCTTATAGGAGGCTGGAAGATACTTTGCTGGAGAAGAGTAATGGCCAAAGAGAAAAGACATGTAGATGCTGCTATCTGGGACTTCTCCAATAAAAAGCTGGAAGGCCAGCCAATCATACCGCCAGGCTCACCAGTCTACAAGCCCTGACTAGTCACACATAGCTTTCACTCTAGAATATGAATTAATACTCACAGGTTGTTAGAGTTTTGAAGAAAGCCTCTAACATAAATGACAGACTAAAACATAAGGAACTTGGAGAAAACAGTAACCATGAAAGGAGCAGAAAGTGAAATTGATTTCTTCCAAGTTAAGAGAAGATATTCCACCTATGAATGAGTAAGAGGAAGTGTGGGCAATCATAGAATATGAAAGTTTTGGAAATTAAAAATAAGATGGCAGAAATAAAATATTCAATAGGAAAGTTAGAGGATGAGTTGAGGAAATAATAGGAAATAAGAAAAAATGGTTAGACAGAAAAGATAAGAAAATTAGAGGATCAATATAGACATTTCACAGAAAATAATAAAAATAGTGGGGAGAAATTATCAAAGAAACTGTATTAAAACATTTCCTAACTGAAGAACATGAGCTTCTAGATTGAAAGAGCCCACTGAGCACCCACACAATGCGAGGGGGGGTGGTGGGAATACACATCAAGTTACATTATTCTAAAATTTCAGAACCCTAGAGATAAGGAGGAGATACTAAATTCTTCCTACCTTATAGACAACAGTACTGTATTGTATGCTTAAAATTTTGTTGAGAGTAAATCTCATGTGTTTTTACCACAATAAAAGTAAGTAAAATAAAGTAACCAAACCAAAAATATAAAATAAAAAGTTAAATCTTCATGGAGGAAAAAAAGTCAGTCGAAGGACTCTAAATATAAATAAAATGGCATTTGGATTTTCAACAGTAACACTGGAAGCTAGAGGCTAGTTTCCAACCTTGAAGAGATAACCAGTCAAACTATCAAATACGGATAAAATAAAGAAATTTTCAAATGTGCAATGTATCAACAATTTTACCTCATACTGGATAATGTGTTCTTCTAAAATTAGGGTGTAAAACCCAAATAAAGGACGCAACACAGGAAACAAGATATTTAACATAGGAAAGAGGAAATGTGAATTCTTGAGATGAGGAAGAAGGGAGGTCTCCAGACAACAGGGTATCTGGAGCTGCTAGAGGGCACCTAGGCTATATAACCACACAAGGACATAAGGCGCCAAGGTGGAAGATTTTGAGGAAAAAAACAGAATAGACTTTTAGAAAGCAATGAAAAAGAATTGGGTAATTATTAATTATAGAAAAGTTCAAACATTATACAAGAAAGAAAACAGAATTGTAAAACACCTGGCAAAATATTTAAATAAGTTGTTGAACTTTTAAGACAAGCTATGCATTTTCTTTTACAAAATGACAAGTGTTCTAAATTTGGTTAACTTTACTGGGATAACAAGTGGCTCTCAGAAGCTACTTAGCAGATAAATTAATAAAGAAAGGCAAAACAAAACAAAACTAGTCACACTTGATGGTATGGGCAACATCTTAACAAATACTGAAAAACTGCATAATAAAAATTAAGCTATGCAGAGATCTTTTTAGAAAAAAAAGTCAGAATTTCCTTTATTACATAATTTTGTTATGAGAGATGATAAACAGGTACACAAACTTCACATCTTTACATTAAATACATGGAAAAAGAATTTTCTCATCTCCTGCCAAAGTTTCATTAAAACAAAATTCTTTAAAAAATTCAATCGCATTGCTGAAAATAAAAATAACATTATTTTTAGTGAGAACAAAACTACTTTTGTTATATTTTTAAAGACTAAAGATGAGTTCAAAAAAAGTTGATGTCTTAATTATACATGTAAAATCTGAATGTGAAAAAAGTGTAGGGTTCTGAATCTGAATGAGTCCTTTCAAATAGCCTATCATCAAATCTTTTTTCTTAAATTGAGGTACAAGTGACATACATTTTAGTTTCAGGTATTTTTGGAATTTTATACAAACTTTGTATAAATGAGGTATGGAAGAGATACAAAATAATAAGATGGCTTTACTACCATTTTTATGTAGTATAGAAATCAAAGATGATACTTTGAAAGGTGCTGACAAATAAAAGATCTTGGTTGGAAGCTGCAAAGAAGCTCACCTCCGGCCCCCGCCCCCCTTTTTATTTAAAGAAGGTGGAAGTATCGCTTGGGAGATGGTTGCTTTGGTCCTTGATTCAAGAATTAATTTTTAATGAAGGCAGCTAAGTTACAATGCTCTGTGGAATACACAGTGACATCTTTAAAAAAATACTATTTCTTAATAAGCCAGAGGCAAATGTTTAAAAAGCAAGTTTATATAAAAGCCTTTTTTCAAAAAAGTAAGTTCCCAAATTCAGCAGCCATTTAGTTCCTGGTTCTACTACCAACTGTAATAACAGTGTTAATGGAATGAATACCCAACAAGGCCATTGTACGCTACTGAAAGATCTAAATAACATTTAGTTAGTTCTACTAAATAAGGCCTGGAAGGTGATTTTAATTCAAGATTTTTATAGAAATAGTTAAAAAGCCCATAATTAAAATAACTTCATTTATTTGGAAAATTTTTCATATTCTCTATTAGATTTTTGTATTTATTATTCATTGAATAACTACTATGTCTACAATAT